CACACACACACACACACACACACACACACACACACACACACACACACACACCATGGGACCCATCATCCACCCACAACCTTTAACCACAGGTTACAGCTTTAGTCAGCTTAAAGAAATACCAGTTCTCAAATTTAATTTTGGAAAAATTTAAAACCATTTAGACTTTCTTCGCCCCATGCTGTTTTTATTCTTTTTTTTTTTGGATGGGCAAAGTAATTAAGTGTGTGGAGGTATTTACCCCACCCTACCAGTAAGGGAAACCTGCATAGACGTGTCTGTGCCCCGAGTTCCCCCCCCCCCCCTTTCTGAGAGCACCTGATGATCTTAAGCAAGCTGTATTCACAGCATTATCATTCCTGTGATGGTGGGGGCCGGGGGGCTCGACAGGGAACACTATCTGAAATGCCCCCCCCCACCACCAAGCCAGGCATTTGCTCTTAGAAGGAAGGAAGGCAGATGTTGCGAGAGGAGTCGCAGAAAGCCAAGCATCTACTCCCAAAAGCTGGTCCCTAATTGCTTTCCTTCCCCTGGTTACAGATCTTAAGACGAGCTCACAAAACATCCACCCCATGGAGTGACACGACGTGACACGTAAACGAGGGGCTTTGGGGGGGGTGAGTCCCAGATGCCTGTTGCACCCCCGTGACCTGAAAGCCTGTGCGGACGACCGGCAGCAAGGGAGTGTGCTCTTCTGATTGGCTGAGGCAGGTGGAGGTCGAAAAGTGCAGGGAGTGAGATGGCTCATCTTGTGACCTTGGTGAAATCTTACGTCAGGTTCCCCACTTTCAGTCCGACAATCTCCAGTGATTAATGGGGGTGACTCCTCAACAAAATGATTCATTCCTGCTTTCAGTTAAAAATAAAGGTAGGTTTACAATGAAGGGTTTCCTAGACGAGGAAAGGAAGGCGTGAGGCTTCCCAAGGAGCCGGGCTCAGTCTGCAGAGGGATGGGATCCACAGTTCGGGATTCCGGCTCTGAAGCTCTGATCCGGCTTCAGTGCGAGGGAACGTCAGGAAAATTCTACATCCGCTTTGCATATCAGATTCATTGCTAATTTGTTATAATACCCAATTATCGTGAGAGATGCATAGAAAAACAAAAATGACCAAAGACGCACAGAGCTGCATGTCGTCAAACACTGAGACACACGTGTGTGAGGTACGGTCCAGGGGCTCAGCCAGGGCTCTCTATGCAAAGCCTAAGGGGTTAAATTGAGAGTCTGGGGATGAGCGGGCAGATACATGGACAGCCAGACAGGCAGACACGTGCACATGCACACATACAAACAAACACACACACACATACAAAAAAAAACTGCAGCGCGGTCAAACAGAGAGCAAACTCGCCACGCGTGAAAATTTTAACAAGAGTCATGCACAACCGGTGCCGCGTGTGGACAGGAAGACAAATTACCTGCCGGATGACTCTTCAGAGCGAGAGTGGGAAAGGAAGGAGGAGAAGGAGAGGTGCGGAAGAAAAAAACGAGATCCTCTCCACTCACCTTCGGACACGCAGCCCTGCAGCTTGTGCTCCTCAGACTAGAGGGGATACAGAGAGAGAGAGAGAGAACGAGAGGAGGAGAGACCAGAGACAGAGACCGGCTACGGCGTGATACAGAGAGACAGCACAGCCTGAAGGAGGGATAGAGGTGGTGAATGAGAGAGGGATAGAGAGAGAGTGACTGATAGAGGAAGGGGGGAGTGAGTCAGAGGCTGGAGAAGCAGCAGGTCACGCAGCTTCACGCAGGCAAGAGCGGCTCTCGCTCCTCACGGCATCACAGCGCTAGTGGAGTCTAGACGGCCTCTTAAAAGGAGGCAGCCGCATGTGGGAGGGACGGCCCTGCATCAACGCTAGGCCGACCAATCACAAACGAGGGGGTGGGGCCACCAGACACCCCTGCCAATCAGGCTCACAAGAGATGGGGAGACGGGACCGGTAGGCCAATCGTGCACTTGGAATGGGGGGTGGGGGGGTGTCTGAGACTCCACAGGCAGGCGCGCAGTCAGACCAAGGGCATGCAGCAGTGTTTACGTGGAGAATGATGCACTGGTGAGTCACAGTGTGTTCGTTACATGAGTCTGAACGCAGTTGTGCAGCTCTGGGGCAAAGGCAATTGCCTAAGGCAAGGTGTCAATGGTTGACGCACTCGTATGTACGCTTCTCTCTCTCTCTCTCTCACACACAAACATGACAGCATCCCCACGCCTAATGATCAGGAGTGAGAAGCATCACAATGGCCTCTTTGAGCCAAGAAGCTCTTCCTACTGTAGTGACATCACGCGTCCGTTCCCCACCGGACAGAAGGCGGCCGCTGACACGGGGAACCTCCGAGGCTCGGGGCCTCCCACGGAAAACAAGGCGGACCCCGAGGGAACAAAGGGTTTCCTGTCAGCGCATGGACACATTTTGGTGGGAGAGACACGATTCCGCTACGTCTGTCAAAACACTGAGGTCATGAGGGCGTCGCAGAGGGGATGAAAAACATAACTACTGTAAACAGTCACATGACTCATTCAGGGGTTAGAGAGTGCTGGCACCGAGGCTATCAGTCTGCAAAGGCCTGGCAGCGTGCACATGCACACACACATGCACACACACATGCACACACACATGCGCACGCTCAGCACAGAGCTCAAGGGAAGGTGTACAGAGGCCAGTTGGAACCTTCCATCTCTCACTAGTTTGGTCCCCCCTAGTCCACATCGTCCCTCTCTGTGGCACTGACTCCCCATCGGTGCAGCTCAGTGA